GGGCGGCTGATGGCGGGCACGCTTCGGAAGCTAATCTCGGGGTGTCCGTTTGTTTACAGGAAACGGTTCCGATGCGAGGAGAAGGATGAAATTTGGTTGTCTTTCCTTCCGACAGCCCTACGCAGGATTAGTTTTGAACAAAGTCAAAACGGTGGAGACTCGCTGGCGCCCTTTGCTAGCAGAGTACGAGAACTGCACCGTCGCTGTTCACATAGCTGTTCAGGACTGGCAAGACGAGACGTGGAGAGCAATTCTTCTGAATAGGTTTGGCATGACGCCAAAACAAGTGCAAGATTTGTTGGATAAAGGGGAAAAATTTGGCAGAGGAGTTATTGCAGGTAAGCAACCTTAGATTGTATTTTCCGTGCAGGCTTTTGGTCCGTTAACATTCAGTTACACACTTGCTTTACAGTCGTGCTCAGTGGAACATTGCTTTAGCACTTCGAAGGAGTGGTGCCTGGATTGTGGGTGGGCGGCTGTTTCAGTTCCTTATCACTGTCGGCTGAGGTCCATGAGGGAAGCTGTAAATAAAATTTACTCTTTTTCATTGTGTTCGAACCATGAAGTATCTTTCACCTTTAGGATAAATAATTTTAGTCAGGCCTCATTTTTTAAAATACACTCACTCTGATAAAATTTTAGGCTACAACTCCATAAAGTCTGTACAAAAACGCAACTTGATTTGTGCTAGCTCATCATACAGGAAGACAGTGTAACATGGGTTGTGTATTATTTTGTTTCATGATAATTGTGGTTTAACACCAGTTGATACCTAAACCTCACACAGCTGCTCCCTCGCTCCCCCTGGTCAGGTGGAGGAGGGAACTGGAAAAGTGAGAAAACTTGCAGAATGAGATAAAGACAGTTTAATAGGTAAAGCTGTGGTGCACAAGGAAAGAACACAAGGAATCCATTCCCCACTTCCCCTGGCAGGCAGGTGCTCAGCCACCCCCAGGACAGCCGGGCTCCAGCACACATAGCGGTCACTCGGGCAGACAGAGGTCATCACTCCAAACATCCTGTCCCTTCTTCTTCCCCCACTTACATATGTTGAGCATGATGTCATACGGTCTGGGATACCCTTGGGGTCACCTGTCCCAGCTGTGTCCCCTCCCAGCTGCTTGTGTACCCCTAGCCTGCCCACGGGTGGGGTGGGCTGAGGAGCAGGAAAGCCCTTGATCCTCCCGTGAGCCCTGGGCAGCAGTAGCAAAACCCCGTCTGTGCTCCCAGCAGTGCTCCCAGCACAGCCCCACGCTGGGTGCTGTGAGGAGAATTAACTCTTCCAGCCAAAACGAGCACAACAATAAATATCAGTTACACTTCATCAGTGAAGAATTTTGTTCCTGTGACACAAAGTTAGGGTGAAGTGGTGTTCCTTTGCTTGTATTGTGATGCTGAACTGTCATGGATGTTGCTGCACAGCATACTTCTGAAGTTTATATCTGCACTCATTTTGCTCTTCTTTCTTGTAGCTATCTTTTGTTACACTTTCTATTCTCATTTGAATATTTTAGCTATTCCTGCACAACAAATGATTTGCATCGCCTATACTGAAAAATTGATCCAGTTCTACCATGCTGAAAGCTATTAGGTACTACCCAATATGCAAATTTGTAACTGTCACATAAAGTGCATGCTAACTTGCAGAGTAGGTATCAAAGCTTGTTTGATCTTTATTTTAACATTTTTAGTCATTAAGGGAAACACCCTTTTGTGATTTTAAAAGGGTTTCAGAGCGCAGGAATTTCCATATAGTTCAGTGATTTTAAGATGTGAATAGAATAGTGGTCAGGTAGGGGGAGAGTTTTCTTTTTCATGAAGCTGTTCCAAGCTCTGGAGTTCTCATAGCAGCTCTACTTCCTTAGATGCAGGCTTCTTTGAAGAGAATTCTAGGTCACTGAGTTGTGACTGTTAGAACTGCATGCTTCACCTGTTCTTCACCAGCCTAAGTTCAGTCACAGAGGCCATCTTCTGCCAGTGAAGCAGAAGGCTTTGAGGTGTGCATTCTCCAGACAATGTTCTGGTAACAAATTGCCTGGTTTGTACACCTTCTGGAAGGTTTACTTTTAGAAAGCTTTCCTCTAGGAGATCAAACAGCCAACTAACTTTGTATTTTAATTTTATAACATAGGATTAATTGACATTGGAGAGACGTTGCTATATCCAGAAAACTTGCCTCCTGAAAAGATTCTGGAGCTGGAAGACAAAGCTGTCCTCAAGAATCTAGAACAGAAATACTTGACTGTTGTTTCAAATCCAAGGTGGCTTCTGGAACCTATTCCTGCCAGAGGGGGAAAAGGTGTGTGGCAGGTAGACATCCCTGAAGAACTGATCCCTTCAGAAGTGTAGGTGTTGCCCCATACTATTATTTTTCCTGCCTAAATACACCCTTGTAATTCACCAGTCAGCATCTTGCGTACCAGTAACTGAGTTGTTTCAGATTCCCTTCCAAAACTAATTGTTTGAAATAGCAAGTAAATTGGAAGAGGCAAAATAAACAGGGTGTGATTTTTATGACCATTACTGGAAATTATTAATGGTTTACTGGATTTTTTCCTGTATAAATAACTCTAAACAAATGTAATTTTTTTAAAAGCTATGGTGGATGCATTGTGTACCAATTTAAAACGTGAGTAATTACAACTGTATTCTATGATGCACGCAGCTCTGATTCTGAGGAAGACAGTGTTTGTGGGACCCTGCAGAAAAACAGTTGGCTGGCATCATTTACAGTAGATCTGTCTCTGAGCCTACTCTTTCATTTGTGGGCTCCTTGAGAAAGAAATCATCTGAGAGACGGCCAGTCCCAGGGGCTCCTCCAACAGAGGCAGGGCTTTCTTGGACAAGGTTTCTGCTCATGGTGTGTGTTGTGAGCTGTAAATGTAAAGCCTGCAGAAAGTACCAGATTTTCCTCATTCACCAGTTAGGTACTGTTAGGGTTAGGGCTGGGACAGCCGCTAGAAGAATGACACATGCTCTCTGTTAACCCCTGTCCCTTCCCAAAGGGAAGAAAAAGGGAATAAGGCGAGAGGCTTACAGATTGGAAAACTAAAACAGCTTTAATTAAAGTAATAATAAAATGGAATATATACAAATTGTACAAAACCAGTATCAAACCAAACACCCTTGAGGGCACTGTCACCACTGATGCTGTGGAGCAGGCACTGAGGAAGTCCCAGACTGGACTTCATGGCAAAGGGAACCAGGCTCAAGAACTGCATTCTGCAACCAGACTTGAACACATGGATTGGGATTGAAAGGAGAATGGACAGAATCCTCAGACACAGGCCATCAAAGAGGCTTAACCATTGTGATCCCTCAGCTGTGTACTGAATAGAACAGGCACTGGAATGCCTTGTTGGTCAGCGTAGAGTCACCTTGCCTGTCCACTCCTCCCCACAGGTGTGACCTCTTGTTTGCAGCACCCCTATGTGGCACACAAAGTGTAGCAGTAACCTTGAGCTCCATCGGAGCAAGAATAATCAGGAGCCTTTCTACACCTCAATCCTTGGTAGTATTTATAAACATCAAGCATTATTGCTACAAGCAGACAATGCAATAATATGCTGCTAACTTCAGGAAGTGCAGTTTCTTAGAAGAGACTGAGCTGAAAAGTAAGGTCACTGAGCAGAATTGGTTCTGTTCCAGCTCAAAGCAGGATAGGTACATTAGATGTGCATCAGATGGGGAAGCAGTCTACAGCATACAGCCCTTTTACTGGGCACAAGAAGATGCTTACACAAGATTAAATGAAGCAACTATTACAATATTTCTTTCATTTAAGATGAAAACTATGAGGAACATTTGAAAACCTAATACTGAATTCAAGTGTGAAGAGTAACACATAGAAGTCAGTAATTTGGGCACTTTCAGAGATTTCCAGAATTCACACCCTGTTCAGTGAAAATCCCTTGACTTTGTGGAGCAAGGCCTGAGGCCAGGCAGAGGCACAGCTGTAAAAACAGGACAGGACAACTGGCAGCACCTTGGTATTTAGAGTTTATTTGAACGCTCGGCAGACTGTTCCCTGCACAGCTTCTGCAGAGCTGCAGAAGGTACTGGGCACGCCCCAGGCTGGGGTCCAGGAGGAGGGCCTGCAGCTCCACCGTTGGGACCACAGGGGCAGTGTGGTGCAGTTTGGCTCAGGTGGCCCTGGCACAGACAGAGCAGCGGCTGCTGCCGGCACGGCTGGAGAGGTGGGAGGTGCCAGCCCTGGTGGGAGGCGACTGTTGGGCACAGCCTGCTGGGCACAACCCCACAAAGCAGCGGCATCACCCTGGGCACGGGCCAGGCCAGGGCTGCCGGGCTGGGGCAGACTGGAGGGGGTCATAGGACCGAGACTGTCCCCACCCCCTGCTGCTCCAGGCTCAGCCTGGCTGCAGGCAGAGGTGGAGGCACGTCCGGCGCGGGGAGCTGCCCAGAGCTGCCGGGGCACAGCACTTGGCATGCTTGGTCTTCTTGGCTGTAGAGGTGAGCACGTCCTCCCTCGGACCAGCTGGGAACGGAGCCCTCTCCTCAGAAGAGGTGTCCCACACAAGCTCTGTCTCTGCTTTCCTTTTCCCCTTGCACATGTGCAAATCCAAGTCCAGCAACTAGCTTGACATTTTGTTTCTTAGTCTGAAGCTTTGCCTATACTTCATCAGCTGACATGGAAAATGTTGTCTAAAATATGGGTTGTAGTAGAGTGAAACTAAAAAATAAAAATGAAGAGTTAGTTGCCAAACTTGAGACTGGAAACCACAAAGATAAGAGAACTAAGAGTTTTTATTGCAAAAGAGAAAACAAGACCATTTCAGGGGTTCTAAACCTGAAGTTCAGGGTGAATAAAGTGGTGTGGCACAGTCCCATTAAGGAGTAACCAGCCTTGTGGTTTTTCCACTTCGTAGCAGGGAAGCTCAGAGTTTTTAAAAGCATACAAACTGACTTAAAAACTCAAATGCCACTATTTTTCAGCAGCTTTAGCATGGAAAGAACCTGTAGGTAACCATACAATGCTGACACACACCTTCTCCACCTTCAGCAAATGCCACAATGAAACTGCCCATCTGGTACAGCAAGACCCATAGCAAAGATCTCCACAAAAATCCTGATATGAGGAGAATCTCTTCTTTTATGCATTCAGAAGTAACTGCAAATAACCAATATACATTTTGTCAGCATTTCTGCTAAGAAATGCTACCTCAAAAACTCCTGAATGTGAGCCAAGATACAAATGACAGAACATTTACTGCCATCTTCATCTCCTGTGAAGTAGACTTCTTTAATTGGAACAGAAATCTGTCCCACTGGACTATTTGGAGAGTTAGTTTGCACGTAGAGGAGCCAACATACCTCCCAAGCTGTTTCTTCAAATAGCAAGTCATCACGTGAGCCTGATTTTGGGAAATCCCACAGCTTCCTGGTGAGCCTGTGCAGACAGGTGCTGAGTGAAGCTTTTCATGATCTCACTTCCAAAGACACTCAGACGTCCTCTCCTTGCTAGTAGTTCCTCTTCAAACATTTCTTCACCGATCACTACACATTTTCAATTGTCACACCACCAAATGGACTTAAATTGAACATTTTCTATGTCCCAAAGCTTCTTCAGAAAGCTGAGACATACACAGGCGCTGCCTTTGCTAGAGCTCTCCTCTGGTGTGTTCAGATGCTCTTGTTGAGCAGGGTTGCTTCATCAAAGTTGGTAAAGAGCTTTTTTCTATTTGAGGTGCAAAAGTAGCATCAGTAGCTGCTCTTCTGTCAAATGCTGAATGAAGAGGAGTCCCGACGAGTGAACTCCCTTGGCTGGAGGAGAATCACATGAAGTTTCCAATGAGAAAAGCTCCATTTTAAATTCTTGTCTCCATTGGAGTAAATTTTTCAGCTGAAGCTCAACCTTAGCAGCCAGACTGTCCTGCCTGCCAGCTGACAGGAAGTGACCAACTGAGAAGTCCAAGGGAACTGTCTCAAACATCACTAGGACACCCATGCACCAGAAGGTAAATAAATTGCAGTGAAAGTTTACATGTAGGACAGGACAGTGCTGTGTTGCCTTTCAGTGAGTGGCTGGTCCCCAGGGAGGAGGAGGGAGGTCTGCAGAGTTGGGAATGAAAGTGCCACATCTCAGGTGTGCACCTCTCACACGGGCAGAAACATGCTCTTTGTTCTTACTGCCACCCTAACACTAAGGAAATGTGATCCATGGTACTTAAGCTAGCTAAACTGTGTTCCCCTAAACCCAAAGAGCAGCTGCAAGGATCTGGGAGTGTCCAGCATCTGTTGTTAGAAGCTACTGGAGTATAGGTTTCAAAGACCAAATTTCTCTAAAGCACCTGCAAGTCCAAGACAGTCTGTCAAAGGATGTCTGTTTTCAAACAAGAAAATGCTACATCAACACCAATGAGTTCCTGACTTGAAAAGTTTAATCATTTACACCAACACAAAGTTGGTAATGAAGACAAACCTATGCTATTTATACCAGCTGCTGACAGCTGTAAAACCTACAGCTGATGTTTCTGGCATCGACTGCACACACAATGGAAGAGGGAACAGCTTATTGGGCAGCCAGTCTAATTGGAGAATGGTGTACATGCTGCTCAAGAATTAAAACGTGAACCTGGAAAAACAACAAAAGCAACACTCAACTCCCAAGGCAGGGCAAAAGTTGAAATACCTGGATGAAAATTTACATCACAAACTCAGAAACATCACATGAATTGCTACACATTCTATTCCCCTGCCAGAAGCTTTCCAGTCTTGCCAGAGAAGGGCAACGCTCCAGTGCCCCTGTGGTTAAGACAATGATTGTGGCTGAAGAGAAAAAAAGTGAAAGAGCTACTATACTAAGGCACCCCCAAAGCATTTAAAACAGACAGGGAAATCAAGTGTATATTTAGGACCTAAAAGACACCTGGAATTGCATCAGCATTTCATACAGGGTTTTTAAAAAAATACTTTCAGATAATACTTACACTGTACAGGACAAGACTTTTAAACAATATATTACACTGCTAAAATGTTCATATAAATACTATACAGGTAAGCGTGCAACCAACCCATGAGGAAGGTTCACAGATTAGACCACCACGTATCTGAAAAGCTCTCCGATTATCTTCAACATCTCTGATTTGTGTAATCCAAGCCACTGATTCAGCAACACCTATTTTAAAGTAATCGGGACAAGGCATGAGATGAAATACATTTGTCTGCTGCTTCCCAGTTCAAGTTTAATATGCTACTGTCATCTTAATCTGGCATGTCAATGTTTAATTTGGGAGGTGGAATCACGTATTTTCCTGGGCTCTGTGTAATGACCACTCCAGTCTTTTTTCGAAACATGGCTGGTGCAATTTTTGGTGGTTCAGGCAGTGGTGTTTCTTCTGTTTCCTCATCTTCGTGATGAAGGTCATAGGAAATATTTCCATATTCTCGTAAGAATGGGAAGATTTCAAGCAGGAACTGGCAGAAGTCCTTGCGAATTCCAAACCACCCTAAAAAAAAAATAAAAATCATTTCACATCATTGCAGAAAAGAATGGAAATTAATTAAATGGGCAAATTATGCAATCTTGTTGAAGTTCTTTCGATTTTTTACATATGAACAACAAAGTTTGTTAGTGCTGCTTCTCGGTGTGTCACTGACACCTCTTGTATAACACCATCACAGTTCAGATCCTATACACACGGGCACATCCAGAATGTAGACACGCATCAAGTGCTAGACAATGGAATGCCAGCCAGTCAGCTTCAGTGGGGGCCCAGCTCACCTGCCTCTGTGCAAATGCCCACGGCATGGCAGCACAAACAAGAGGAGTTCACAGATGTGTGCATGGGCTGTGGTGTTACCAGCACCACTGAGATGTGGTGGGATGGCTCCTGTGACGAGTGTGGGAACAGAGGGATATGAGCTCTTTAGGAAAGAGAGGCAGGAGAAAAGGAGGGTGTGTTGCCCCCTATATCAGTGATCAGCTGGAGTCCATGGAGCATGACCTATCAGTGATCAGCTGGAGTCCATGGAGCATGACCTGGGATGGATGAGGAGCTGACCAAGAGCCTATGGGTCAGGGTTAAAGGGAAGGCAGGGGAAGGTGATATCATAGTTGTGGCGTGCTACAGGCCACCCGACCAGGCAGAAGGAGCAGATGAGACCCTTTATAGACAGATAGGAATGGCTTCACATTCACAAGCCCTGGTCCTCATATGGGACTTCAACCACCCCGATACCTGTTGGAAGGACAGCACAGCAGGGCACCAACAATGCAGGAGGTTCCTTGCATGCCTTGATGACAAGTTCCTTCTCCAAGTGGTAGAAAAACCAACAAAAAAGGTGCTATGCTGGATCTTGTTACCAACAAGGAGGGGCTGGTGGGCAACATGAGGCTCAAGGGCTGCCTTGACTGCAGCAACCATGAAATGGTAGAATTCAAGATCCTTAGCGCAACAAGGAAGGTGCTGAGCAACCTCACTGCCCTGGACCTCAGGAGAGGAGACTTGGGCCTCTTCAGGGATCTGCTTGGCAGAGCACCATGGGATAAAGCCCTGGAGGGGAGAGGGGCCCAGGAAAGCTGGTCAATATTCAAGGGTCACCTCCTCCAAGCCCAGAAGCAACGTGTCCCAACAGAGGGGAAGGCAGACAAGAATACCAGGAGGCCTGCCGGGATGAACAAGCAGCTCCCAGACACACTTAAATGTGAAAAGAAGGTCTACAGAGAATGGAAGCAGAGACAGGTGGCCTGGGAGCAATACAAAGTTGTTTTCTGAGCAGCTAGGGGTCAGGTTAGGAAAGCTAAAGCCCAGACAGAACTAAATCTGGCCAGAGACACCAAGGGTAACAAGAAAAGCTTCTACAGGTATGTCAGTGATAAAAGGCTGGCTAGGCTCTCCAGCAGGAAATGGGAGACCTGGTCACAAGGGATACAGAAAAGGCTGAGGTACTCAATGACTTCTTTGCCTCAGTCTTCCCCAGCAAAGGCTCCAGCTGCACTACCAAGAAAGGCAGAGACTGGGAGAAAGAAGATCCATCCACTGTAAATGAAGACCAGGTTAGAAAACATCTAAAGAATCTGAAGATGTACAAGCCTATGGGACCTAATGAGATGCATCTCTGGGTCTTGAGGAACTGGCACATGAAGATGCTAAGCCACTTTCCATCATATTTGAAAAGTCATGGCAGTCTGGTGAAGTTCCCACTGACTATAAAAGGGGAAACATAACCCATTATCAAAAAGGTAAAAAGGAAGACCCAGGGAACAAGACAGTCAGTCTCACCTCTGTGCCCAGTAAGATCATGGAGCAGATCCTCCTGAAGGCTCAGATAAGGTACATGGAAAACAAGGAGGCGACATGTGGCAACCAACACAGCCACACCGAGGGCAAATCATGGCTGACAAATCTGGTGGCCTTCTATGATAGAGTTACAGCATCGGTGGATATGGGAGCAACTGATGTCATCTGCCTAGACTTGTGCAAAGCATTTGCTACTGCCCCGCAGGGCATCCTGGTCTCTAAACTGGAGAGACATGGATTTGATGGACGGACCACTTCGTGGGTAAGGAACTGGCTGGATGGTTGCACTCAAAGAGTTGGCCATCAGCAGCTTGATGTCCCAGTGGAGAGCAGTGACAAGTGGTGTTCCTCAGTGGCTGATCCTGGAACTGGTGCTGTTTAATGTGTTTTGCTGGTGACATGGAAAGTGGGATCCAGTGCACCCTCAGCAACTGTGTTGACAACATCAAGCTGTGTGGTGGACACTCTGGATGGAAGGGATGCCACCCAGAGGGACCCTGACAGGTTTCAGCAGTGGGCCTGTGCCATCCTCATGAAGCTGAACAAGGCCAGCTACAAGGTTCTGCAGCTGTGTTGGGGCAGTCCCAAGCACAATACAGGCTGGGCCGAGTACAGATTGAGGGTAGTCCTGAAAAGAAAGCCCTAGGTTGCTGCTCGATGAAAAGGTCAATATGATCCAACAATGCGCAAGCACAGCCCACGAAGCCAACTGTGTCCTGGGCTGCATCAAAAGAAGTGTGGCCATAAAGCTGAGGGAGGGGATTCCACCCCTCTGCTCTGCTCTCTTGGCACCCCACATGGAGCATTGCATCCAGCCCTGGAGCCCCCAACACAAGAAGGACATGGACCTGTTGGAGTGGGTCCAGAGAAGGCCCACCCAGGGCGATGATCAGAGGGCTGGAACGCTTCTCCTCCAAGGACATGGTGAGAGAGTTGGAGTTTTTCAGCCTACAGAAGAGAAGCCTCCAGGCAGACCTTATTGTGGCCTTCCAGTATCTGAAGGGGCCTACAAGAAAGCTGGGGAGGGACTTGTTGCAAGGGCTTGCAGTGGAAGTATGAGGGGTAATGGGTTCAGGCTGCATGCAGAGGCTTGGCCAGGGAGCGTTTTGGTAAGCAGCACTTGCAGTGCAGCAGCCAGCACTGCTCCATTAGCCCCTGCCAGCAGTCAGTGACAACAGAACAGCCTGCCCAAGGCAAATCTTTCACACTGAATGACAGCAAGATATTAAGCATCTGCCATGGAACATCCCATAAAATCCATCTTCTTCCAGAGATTTTACTTCATGGCCAACTGGTGTATTTCACTTAACATGTTAGAGGTGGATTTTCATGCCAGTCTTCCGAGACTCACTTTAGGTGAATAGTCTTTTTTAAAACTTTACACGAATATTTGCTAACCCTGCAGAAGATAAAAGTGGACACATGGCTTTCTGACAGACTAACTTGGCCGTTATCAGCATCGGTGCAGTAACAGGAGGTGGCTCAAAGTGCCAGTGCTCCTGTCAGCAGTGCCAGCTGGGGTGTGGACAAAGGCCTAGTAAGTGCACACTGGCCACCCAGGCCACCCAAGCAACTAAGCAGCACAGAGCAATACTTGGCCACAGAGGAAAGAGAACACTGCTCATTCAGGTTACCAGGACAAACGCTGATTAAGAACGGTAGGTGCTACACTATTTTCAGAACCCAGAGTAGGAAGATCCATCCGTATCCTGTGAGAATGAAACCCACAGAAATTAGGAAGGATAAAAGGCTAAGTTACAATTCAAATCCGATGGAGATTTCAAGTTAGGTATGAGCTGAAGTTATGCTCTCACAGGAGTAAGAAAAAAATCACAGAGTCACTATAAACACTGGAAGCTTACTAAAATCACCTGAAAACAGGAGACATCTGAATTCTCTCATGAGAGAATATACACAAGAAAGCCCTTTTTGAAAATACAAGTCTTAATAAGATACATTTAAGCTCTTGAGTTTCAGTGTTTCTGTGACTATTTAATACTTACAGTGATTTCCCCCTTTTTGTCCAAACGTTGTTGCCATTAAAGTTATCAATGAAAGCCAGAGAGGAACAAATATTGGTATAAAAGAAAAAGAATTGTGTCCATCCAATCTGTGTACTAGTAAGATCTAAATGACAAAAAAAGAAAAGTCAGTTTAATTGCAATACCCACTTTCAAGCTTCTTAAAACATATACTGATCTCAGATCTTTAACTTTATACATCTGAAAAAAAAGGCCTCCACAGAAACACAATTACAGTTCCAATGTGCTGCGTATTTTATTCAAAAAACCCCTAATAAGCCTACAATTCTTTCTTTCACTGGCTGTTAATAGTCCATTCCAAAACAAAAAGCAGTATTCTCATTTTATTAAGTTCAAAAAGAGAGTAAATTGATCAGTCACTGAAAAAAGCACAAGGCACATCAAACTTATTGCCCTTTTTCCTACCTCAAATGTGAGCAGTGGAACCACAATTGTCATCCAGCTGACAGCCATCGTGATGTGTGTCCTCCTCTGCTCAGCAATCACATCCATGGAGCGAAGGAAGAGAACAGACCACACAATGTAATAGAGAACCACCAGGCACAGGAAGGACATCAGGATCCACAGTGGAACACAAACAACCTGGAAGAAAAAAAAAAAAATTACTATTTTCCCCACCCCCAACAGCGATATATTTTTATCAGTTTGGTTTGGTTCAGGTAGGGTGTTTTTTTTTTTTTTTGGTTGGTTGGTTGTTTGGTTTTTTTTTTTTTTTTTTTGGTTTGTTTTTTTAAGAAAAGCAAGTCTACCTCTTAAGTCTAAACAAGGCTTTTAAGTGTAATGCTCTTTAACTAATATGACCTCCAGCAGAAAAGCTTTGCAAATTGTGTGAGCGGTTACAAGCCCAGTTGGCTCTTTAGGATTCAATTAGCTTTGTAAACCCCATCAAACTGAAACAATTTACAATTAGGTCAATGCAGTTCAATTTTAATAAGACTTCTGCGATTTTATGTGGGCTACAACAGCACTTGAAGTTGGTTTTAGGACTGGACATCTTACTTGAAACAGTTTCTAAATTAGATCCTTTTCCTAGTTTTTGGAAACAATAGAAAGGACAGTGACAGTCTTGCCATATTATCAGTTTTATGGTAGTTTACAAAAACCCAGACAGAAACATTTTTGTATTCTAAAGACACTAGGGACAAGAGATCTTGGCAGTTTTGACAGTGGATTTACATGCATGGTAACACAACAAAGAAAATTATTTACCACACATTTACCAACACACTCTCTAACCCACCAGTCATTGTCATAGCTACTTTAGTGTTCCCACTGGAAACTTTTGGTTAAAGATGAAGAACTGATTAGAGATTAATTGCACTTGATGGTGTGTCCCTCTCCACCAACAGATGAAATGCCCAAAGAACAGCCTGTTTCCCACAACCACTGAATGAAATGCCAGACCTTCAGTGAAGGGCTGTTAGGTGAGCAAAATTGTGATGATGGACTCTGATCATACATTGACTCTTCCCTACAGTAAATATCTTTATGAATTTCCATGTTTAAGCAAGGATAAAAACAAAGTACTTGTTACATACAAGCCACGGCCATCGGATGATCTCGTCTAGTCTGAGTGCAATAAATATGAACTGTAGAATATTCACTGAACACAAGATTTCCAGCTAGAAAAAGAAAAACACATTACTTAACTCTCACCATGATAAAGCTGTTTCCAAGATAACCAAAGAATCTTTCGAAGGACTTTTCTCATTGCATGCTTATCACTGCAACAGGGAACACCATTTGCATTTACATTAGGTATTACTAAGCATCCCTGAATTTGGGAGGCTGTGATCCCAATCGAGAGTAAGTGTAGAGGCAGCTGCCTCCTGAGGAAAGACCTTCCTGGTACTTAAAAAACCAAAAAGCACTACTTGCAACATTTACTCGAAGGATTAGAGAAATAAGAAAAGCCAGACAAATCACAGTAAAAAAAAAAAAAGTTAAAAGTCACAGGTCTATCTGAGGGGAAAAAGAAATGCATAGAGGAGTGGGAGATGACATCCACAACTCAATCATTTACTGTATAATTGAGAGATACTTTAAATGACACTGGAGACACTTGGCTTTGGAGGCAATACAGAAAAGCAATACTTCTCCTAACAATGTTAATGAAAGCTTTTTGTGTGTCCTGTTTGCCACTATGAGAACTACCCCTAAATTAAATATTTTTTAAAAAGTGAAACAATGAAACACCACCAGACCTGGCAAGAGTCTGTTTCCACAGTTTATGGGAAACCCTACACGGGTAGGAATTTCAAAAATCAAACAGAGAAATATCATCTGGAAAGATGAACTGGAGCTGTCAGTGTAAGTTAGAAATATTTTCCATTTTAAAAAAACACATGGGAGTAGAAGGCATCTTTCAAATGCAATATTTCTCTGAGGGCAGACACTACATTCTACTTTTCACTAACATATGATTGTGTGCTATGATCTCTTGGATCAATGCCTTTGAAATTCACAGTACAGGAAGTCAAAAATCCAACAGGCACCACGCACATGCCCACTTCATAGACTGCACTGAAGGCTGCACTGTTGGAGTGCAGGTTACTTTAAAAAGACTGAAAAATAAAAGTAGTTTTGTACCACTGGCTTTCTCAAAAGAATAAACTACAAAAAAAACCCCACGCTCAAACGTAGCAGCAAGCAACCTGAAAACTGCACGAGCAAATAGAATTATTTTTTTTTTAAAAAAGAGAGGACAAATTGCTAAAGATTTTTAGAATCAAGTTAACATTTGAGTTATACATGGCAAGTACATATATATTTAGAGTGGCTGGGCTCATGATTTAATGAATTCAATATGCCTTAAATAAATGGTACTTTATTGACTGCAAAAATAGTGTAATACAAAAGAAGCTTTTTCTGAGCCCACCATGCTATACAGAGAAACCCCCACTATGTACTTACTGCTCACCTCACCAGTTTCAGAACAGCAACAAGCAGACGGTATATTTTCAGATTAATTAATTATGAAAGTAATTAGAGAATAACAACTACTTTGATTACTCATGCCAAAAATCAAAAGCCTGGATTAAAAGACAGGCCCCTCTTGTTCCTAGCAAATGAAAGAGAAATAAAGAAATCTTCCCAGAGTAAAAATAAAAATAGAACAGCACTAAGTAAAGATGACAGGAGTGAAAAAATGAGTTAGCAGTTCAGCTGCATAAGTTATTTTCTTTGAGAGCACTGTTGCCTTGTAGGAGTGGATTCCATTTTTTTCTGTCCATCCTGAGCAGCTGTACAGTCACCTGGAAATCAATGTGTAATCGAGCATCATCCAGCAGAAGTCAAGTACTTCTACACAAACTTTACCTTTAGGAATGGTTAACTGGGACTAGAACGCTGAAAAATAAAATTCTATTTACAACATTTTTAAATCAACAATTAATGTTTAAGTTTACCAGCCATCCTAAAAAGCATGCACAAAAATATTTCTCTCTCTTGATAAACAGCTTATTCTAAAGTTGGAGAAAGATTCCCTTGCAATTAAAAAAAAAAATGAAATTAAAAAGCTGAACCTCAACTAAAAACCAGACTTTTAATTGACATTTCAACCCTAATTGTCTAGGGCTCCACACTGCAATTTGTGGCAAGTGCTTTTAACACAAAATAATAAAAAGACAGGTTTAAAACATGCTGCAATTTGGTACTTAAAAAAACCCTACAGTAGATTAGAAAAAAAAAAGATTTTTCCCCATCCTGACTTTTCACTCCCCAGGTCAGTGGAAACAATTAATTAAGTAGTGCAGTCACCCATACTGTCCTTTACTGAGAGATAACTGTGACCCAGCTGATACAGAGTCTTGCAGAGCCACACATCTGACACACAACAACTGAAGCTTTACCTCCAGAGACCTGTCATGTCGGAATCCCCACACACAAGCTGCAACGGACACTGGAGACACAAAGAACAATGGCATGAAGACCAGAAGCCAGAAATGGGTTCCTCTTTCGATCCTGTCACACACCAGGACTTCAAACATCAGCAGGAGCAGGTGGATGCCAACTGCAATTAGCATGGCTTTGAACTCCACACAGGTTTCTCCTTCTGCTCTGGAGAGAGGATACAAACAGATTCAGTTTACTTGTCAATAGGGAAGCACACTATCCTGCCAACATCCCAGGACACTTTGTTTAGCATTGTTAAGTTTCAGACAGGAACACTTGTTTTGAATCAATGTACCTAGAATCACAGAATGGTTTGGGTTGGAAAGGACCTTAAAGATGATCTAGTTTCAACCCCGTTGCCATGGGCAGGGACACTCCCACTAGACCAGGTTGTTCAAAGTCCTATCCAGCCTGACCTTAAACACACCAGTGATTAAGCATCCACGATGTCCCTGGGCGACTCGTTCTGCTGTCTCACCACTCTCATAGTGAAAAACTTCTTCCTTACATCTAATCTAAACCTACCCTCTTCAAGTTTGAAGCCCTCATACTTTGACTACACGCCCTTGTAAAAAGTCTCTCCCCAGCTTTCTTGCAGGCCCCCTTCAAATACTAGAAGGCAGCAATAAGGCCTCCCTTGAGGCTTCTCCAGGCTGAAAAAACTCCATGTCTCTCAGCCTGTCCTTGTAGGAGAGGTGTTGCAGCCTGCTGGTTCCCAAACAGCCAGTATTACACTACACTCCTGATGATTTAACAGGATTTCTTGCTCACAAAGCTGCCCATTTAAAGTACCTTACTAGAAGGAGGCAGTGGGACTTTTTAACAACTTGGAAATCTTCTAAGGATTCCCTCAGTATGCAGATACACGAGGATTTCTTTGCTACTACATAAACACTCTGGTATCTTGCAGGCTCTTAGGAAACAGGCAATGTTAAAAATTATCTGTTTGGTACCTGCACCAGCTTTCACTGAATCAACATCTTTCCCCAAAACTTCTTCAGTTACCCAAACCAGCATATTGCCACAGAGAATTAGCTATTACTAAAAGGTAAAATGCCTGAAAGATAACAGTGCATACAGAGCAAACACACCTCTTCCTACACCAGTAGAACCATTACTGGAATGGCCAAACAAGATCTCATCCACACCATATCATGTATGAGAATCAGATTCACATACAAAATTTTTCATTTAATATTCACCATTGACAGAAAACGGGATTGAATTTATTGCACTTCATTTAAGGTAGTTTTTCTTTCCCCCTAGAACGTGCAAATTCATACCCTACTCAGATTATTAAAAAAGTAAACACTGGTGTATTTAAAAGTCTTATTTTACCCTATACTGACAAAATAATTTCAAAGTTAAACAACTTTGACAAAAATGGAAAGGAATTTAAACAATTTGTTCCCACAGACATGTGACTTTGCTAATGTTGCACATGCATGTAATGTTATATAATAATGTATATAATGTTATGTAATAATGTCAGTGTATTAAACTGCTGGAATTTTTCTTATAAAACCACAAGTAAAGCCTGAAAAAAAATTCTCTATGTTCACAGCATATTGCAGAATCCCTGAATATTCATCCATATGTTCACTAAGGTTATATGCATACCAAGGGGGAAAAAAAAATAAATCCACATTCTTCAGGCTGATCTGTACATTACAGGAAACTGATTTAGATAATAATCCAATTAAGTACAACATATTCCCAGTGCATATGAAGATATGTATTTCTGTATGGCTTAGACTAAAGCAAGGAATTCCTAGTGTTCTAACAGAAAAGTGCAGAAAGGCACCACACGAGAAATTTTAGCTTCCCAAAGAATCTTGTGATACACCCATAGCTGCATAAAGCTGTTTGCACACACTACAGGTTACGACAAGTATTTTAGATGTGTTGAGAGCTCTGGATGCTCTTTCTCATGTCATTCCAAAAAAATATTGATGCATTTCATTCAATTCAGAAAACACATTATGTCCTCTCTGTTTTGCAGAATAAATACCCTCAGCTTACCGATACTGTGGGTTTCGGGCCCATACTCCTGTTCCCACTGAGGCACCAACAATCACCATTAACTTCCAGAGCCATATTGGAGCAAATACAGCCCAGTAACTCCACTGAATTTTGTCATCCAGTCGTAGAGACAGCAACACAGAAAAAAGCAGCAGGCAGGCATAAATAAGAAATTTGCTATGAAACAAACAAAAAAAACAGAGTCAGAAATTAAGGCAAGCAAATTAACATGAACTTTGTAGAGAACAAGAAAATCAGTCAGCTAAAATTTAATGAGGATACTTCCTCATGTCAAAATTCTTGGCAAAGAATCAAATCAGTTCTGATGATTGAAATATTTCATCATAAGTATAGCATATGTAATCTCGTTCACTTATAAAACCACTGCTTCAAGGGAACACATCAAAAGCATTCTTGCATGACAAACTTAATGAATGGACTTCGAGCAATAGGTCCCTCCCATAAAGATCAAGTCAGGAGCTGTATTTATTAGAGGCTCAGAAATCAGAATTCAGAGGTTTGGTTGTTTGGTTTTATATATATATATATACACACTTTTTACACTAAGTTAGAAGCAGCATTGTAGGGAACAAGAAACCAGGCTAAACTTAACAAAGTTACTAACTGTAGAGTGAAGTTTGTAACTGGAATACTGAGGATGGTGCTTACAGATTTAAAATAGTTATGTTGATATATTTGATGAACTACTCGATCTAAGTACGTATCTGGAACACTTGAGAGCAGTGGTACAGCAACAGGCTGTACCACCCAAAATCAGACAAAATAATTATGGAACACATGATTTCCTCACACTACAGGAAGGGAAAAAGTCACCTGCCCATTCACCAGAGGATCACACACTGCTATCTAAAGCACATACTCAGGCTTCAACACCGCTCCACTGAAGTAATTCCATGTATTTTCAAACATGGATAAACTAGGAAACAGAGGAAATACTGGCTACAGAGTAAAGCAGCAGCAGTCACAAACATGACCCTCGCTCCAACAGCACAGCTCAAACTATCCATTTTTACACTCATCAAATAATAAGACATTCATTAGCTCAACATTGCCTCATTAGATATCAAGCTGCTTTGTCTCTATTCAGAGCAAGTGTCTCAGCTGCCCCTGAATGAGAAAACGCAGCTTTATGTTGTCAGCATCTCCTCACATACTTGACTAAGTCACCACAGCACAGGATAATATAACACCACAGTCACTCTTCACAGCAACAAACAGATCCCTCTGCTTTCCGGGCTTTTCAAACATTTAATATTTGTGTAATTTGTACTTTCCCTGGTTCCTCAAACACAGAAGTGAAATGCCATGTGATAAAATACCACTGCTTCCCGAGCGTTCCAGTAAACAGCAAAACATTCAAGATTAAGTTATCTGCACAAGTGCAACATTCAGCCTGCTCATTCATCATTTAGACGGCATCCAAATAAGCTGCAAGCATCGCTTAGCAACAACAAAACTTTCTAAGCTTCTGGAACTTCTGCTCCTTCTTTTCCATTACTCCCAACCGCGCTGTTTTCAATTGTTTATTTCAACCGCTCTGCAACAATGCATTTCCTGAAGCACTGGTTACCCTTCTGTGCGTCTAAAGAGCCGATTAAATTCGACTTTTTGTAATTGCAACCATACAAGGCCTCTTTCAAAGCAAGACTTCTTCAGGACTCCCGATATTTCACGCCAGCCTGCACAACTTCCTTGCAGGCCTTCATTCTGAAGTCTTGAAATGCCTGCTCACAGCAAAACCAGTGAAATTCATCTCCTGCTCTTGGCTTCTTTAACTGTTACACGCATCTGTACTCGCTTAGCAAGTCAGGAGAAGCCAAGCTGTGGTAACTACCACCTTCCTTGCTCTTTGTGAGAGCCCAGAAAGAAGAATCACCATCAGCAGTGCCCGTGTCTAGACTAGTACGGTTTAGTTTGAAGCCTTCACACCTGCAAAAGACGAGCCTTTACTAAATGCATGTGTTAGACTGCAAGGCAACTTTGCTTTACGGTATAAAGCTTTATACCCCAGATCGTGAAGTTGAAAAATTTAAAAACCAGAATGAGATTTGGAGTAATGTGGTCAAGTTACATAAAACAAAAACGATGATTGGAATTCGGCCTGGAAAGCCGCTGCCCGTGCTGGCAGCCAGCCGGGAGAGCGCGCA